GGATAGTGAGGAACAGGCACTCTGTACATGCTCAAGTGATTCCAGAGAATAGCCTTGGCACTGGATGCTGGTTGTGGAAGGAACTACCCTGTATCCCTGAAAATAAGACCCAATTGGAAAATAAGCAGTGGCATGATTTTTACAGGATGCTCGTAATATAAGCCCTACCCCCAAAATAAGACCCAGTTAAGATTGACAGCCAGATGGATGCATTTAGTATCGTATCCCCCCCCCAAAAAAAAGACCGAGTGGCTTTTGATGTTTCCTCCCAAGGATAGTCTGGATTTTCCATCTATTAGCCTGGGGTGTGTGTGTGTGTGAAATCTTACACCCCTCAGAGAAGGCCCGCAACTTGGGCGTCCTCCTGAATCCGCAGCTGACTTTAGAACATCATTTGTCGGCTGTGACCAGGGGGGCTTTTGCCCAGGTTCGCCTGGTGCACCAGTTGCGACCCTATCTGGACCGGGAGGCCCTTCGGATGGTCACTCATGCCCTCGTCACCTCAAGGCTCGACTACTGCAACACACTCTACATGGGGCTGCCATTGAAGAGTGTTCGGAGACTGCAGTTGGTCCAGAATGCAGCCGCGCGAGCGATAATGGGTGTACCTAGATACACCCATGTTACACCTATCCTCCGCGAGCTGCACTGGCTCCCCATTAGTCTCCGGACGTGCTACAAAGTGCTGGTGATTACCTTTAAAGCCCTACATGGCACTGGACCTGGATATCTGAGAGACCGTCTCCTGCTACACACCTCCCAACGTCCGATAAGAACCCACAGGCTAGGCCTCCTCCGGGTGCCGTCGACCGGACAATGCCGACTGGCGACCACTCGGGGGAGAGCCTTCTCTGTAGCTGCTCCGGCTCTGTGGAACGAACTACCAGCAGAGATCCGGACCCTTCCCACCCTCATGGCCTTCCAAAAAGCCACCAAAACCTGGCTGTTCCGACAGGCCTGGGGTTGCTGATTTTCGAATCAGGTTCAACCCCCAATTAAACTGAATGCATGTTGTGTTTTTTAAAATTGTTCGTATTGTTGTATTTTATTTTCATTTCGTATTTGTAAGCCGCCCGGAGTCCCCCGGGATTGGGCGGCATGGAAACCCATTAAATTGCGAATTGCAAAATAAAGACCTAATGCATCTTTTGGAGCAAAAAAATTAATGTAAGACCCAGCCTCCGAAGCTGGCAGCAGAGTCGGACAGTGAGGAGGTTGGGGAGGAACATGGGCCAGCCCTGGAGGCTGGGGAAGGCTTGGACGAGGGCTCTGCATCGGAGGCAGAGAGAGAGTCATCTGGGAGTTATCTGCTGCCTCCAGAGCCTCCAGAGTCGGACACCAGCGAGGCAGAAGAACAGGGGGAGCCTGTTTCCAGTGCGTGCACAGAGCTGCCAGAAGGCAAGAACAGTTAAGATAGTAAGGGACGATTCAGCAGTAAGGCTTGGAGGTAATTGGCCCCTCCAACATAAAGGAGGAGCAATGGCACAGGAGAGACTTTGCAGGAATCAACTTGGTTCATGCTGGTCAGTTCACCTTCTGAAGCTCCGTTTTGACTCTTTGCTCTGTTTGTCGTAATTGCCAATTAAGTCTTTGGCAGCATTTCCAGGGAGATAAAGGCGGGTGTCTTATCAGCCTTATCCCGAAGGACTTTGGCAGCCTACTGTAGGACTTTTTACAACTATTCAGGACTCATTACAGGCAGTGAATGAACATAATCCACAGCCGTTGAAATAAAAAGAGGGTTTTGGGAACTAAGCGCGTGCTTTTTACTGTATCAGGAAGCCAAGGTCGGAACAGATAGAAAAAGCCCTCTGCGGATGCTCAGAGGCAAGCCTGCATTTAGCCTGGGAACACCAGCCACTGACAGAAGGGGGCATACCGTGACTGGGTTTAAACCCCCAAGACAGGCTAAGATTGGAGTCTTTGGGGATTTTAAGGCATTTGTGGGAGTTATGGGCTGGCTGTTCGGGTGAAGTTAGCAGAGGTCGTGTACCATACCTGAGCAAGTCTCAAATATTCGGCAGCTGCATTTTCTCAAGCAGCTGATCTCGGTTAGGGATAAGCCTCGGTTTGCTGTTTGAGGCTTGATCGCCGCTTCCTTGTCTTTGGAGCCCAAACTCAGGCACAAAAAGGGGCACCATTTCCAGCACACCTTTACCTGCGTCATGACGGAGACCATGATGGCAGTTTGGGACTGGCAGGAAGGAAGCTGCTGCTGAATTAGGACCCAGCCCTCTAGACCCCCCCCCCTCTCCCAGCACTGAGCCAGTTGCCATGGCAACCGGAGCAGCCTGCAATGCCAAATTGTAAGGCACACATGGGACCCCCGGGGATCGGCATTATGCCGGGTTGCCAACTGGGGAGGGGGGGCTAAAACACCCCACAGATTCCATTCATCATACCTGAATCTCTCTTTCTCCCCCCCCCCCCGCACCTTAATCTTAATTTCTTCCCTGCCCTCTGCACCTCCTTGATGAGTTTCTGTCTCTCTCTCTCTCCCTGCCCCTCTCTCTGATATTTCTGTGTGTGTGTGTGTGTGTGTGTATGCATGCATAATGGTTATCTTTTGAGAGCTGAATGCAACAAAATTTCATTTTAATGTATGCTGAATAATGTATATTTAAAGTGGAAATAAAGTTTTTATTCTACTTGTCTTGTATTCCATTCTATTCCATATTTTCTATTCTATTCTATTCTGTTCAATATTCTATTCTATTCCATTCCATTCTATCCTCTAGTCTAGAATGTCTAGATAGCTAGATATAGATGAAAGAGAGAGAGAGAGAGATGATACAGATAGATAGATAGATAGATAGATAGATAGATAGATAGATAGATAGATAGATAGATAGATGGATATAGATTGATAGAGAGAGAGAGATCAGAGAGAGAGATGATTGACAGACAGATGATAGAGAGATGATGGATGATAGATAGATAAATACATAGATATAGATAGATGATAGATAGATAGATGATAGATGATAGATAGATAGATAGATAGATAGATAGATAGATAGATAGATAGATAGATAGATACTCAGCGAAGATGTGCAGAGCAGGAAAGAAATTAGAAATTAAG